TATGTGTGTATAGACGGATGAAGGTCCAGCTATAACAATTTCCATCCAGATCCCAGGGATACAAGAACTGGAAACTCAGACACATGCTCCCTGCCAGAATTAAATGAGTCCTATTGCTGGCTGGTGTGTACACTGACTAAGAAACTGAAGAGACTGTTGATCACTTGGTTCAAGAAGGCAAGGGGATAAACAGCAGAGGATAAACCAATGGTTAAAGAGTGATTCTTCCCCAAAGGGAGACTGAGACATGAGCTTATGAACTCCAAATATCTCTGCTTTACATGCATTGCCATGGGCAGCAGCTGTGTCACAGCCAGGCAGAGCGATTGGGATCAACAAAACTCCTGGGCAGCAGGAATGAAAGGGTGTGGGGACTTAAACAGAACTGCAGTGCAAGAGGAGAAGTCTGGCAGAAGGAAACAGGATGCTAGTTAAGGGAGACCCAAGCTGTGCTTAGGTGCATCATGAGAGCTAAGTTAGACTGTGCTTCATGCCTACTCCTGAGTCACATAATGCTCTTGTTTTATTTTAGTGAACTGTGATGCAGAAGAGAGGAAATGAGACCCCACAGAGCCCTATATCAGCATCCACAGTGCTAAAATCTTGTACAAAACAGGAATAATAGTCTTAGGTCCTAAAAAGCTTTCATTCAAAGTGGGTTCAAGCAGCAGCAGATGCCAAGGAGGTAGCCCAAAACACAGGGGAGGTAATAATCACTCAGAGCACTGGAAGGCATGCTTCTGCACCCATTCTAGCAGGGGATCTCAAAGGAGAGAGGTGGGATTTGGTACAGAATTGTAAGAAAAAAATTCCTGCTCCTGCTTGTACTGAAATATCCCCAACATTGACATTGTCCAACCTCTGCCACAGTAAACTACTTTCTGAAGAGAAAACCAGTTTCTCCTGGCATCACAAAATTCTAAGACATGGTATTAATACATGAACTGGATGCTATGATTTAGTGTTTAGAAGTGACACCTTAAAAAGTCAGATACCAGAAAAAGCAGGTCACAGCCATAACAAGGGATTAATAAAAAAAGAAAAAAAAATAGAAGTCAATTTACTGGCACATAGTACAGCAGAAAATAACATTTGGTCTTTGAGGCTTCCTGTACCTCAGGGTGTTGACTGCAGCAAGCAAAAGGCTTAATCCTCTTGTTATTGAAGGAGGAAGCAAAAAGCATTACTTGTCTTATGGCCAGGGAAGAGAAGGCCAAGAATATTTTTGATTGCCTGGCTGACCCACTTTTTGTAATGCAGACGACTGCTCACTGCTCATGAACTTCACCTGTCTTGAAGAGAAATACTATTACCAGAATAGAGCTTATGAGGTTGGAGGAACTTGGGAGATGCCTGCTTGACTGTGGGTAAGAAAGACAGGTGGATTAGCTTATAAGTTGGAAAGACAGGTAAAATAGCTTACATGCTAACCCTAGAGTTAACCAGGAACCTGAGTCAGCAATCAATTCTCTGTGATAGCTCAGTCCAAGCTCTGAAAGGCATTAGCCCTGCAGTTATCACTGCCTGGAGATAGTAATGACCAGAAGGGGTATTTCAGTTTAAGTGGCACTGACCCTTCAGAAGGAGGTTTGCTGATTTGATTGATTGCCTTTGATGTGGCAGAACATGAAACACACACTGTCTTTTTATGTGGGCCTGAAAGCTTTGGCAAATTTGGAGGGACTGTAATATTCTTCATCAGATCAAGTAACACAGATGGATAAATCAATGAGTTTTAGGGTAAACAACCTCTTTTTTTTCCCCCAGGTAAGCAAGTATATTCCCACAAGTATTCTATTCCCTGGTCTGGCCTTGATAGGAATCAGGATGGATAATACAGCTTTTAATGTGTTTTGTCTCTGCAGCTGAGCTGCACTTTCAATGCTGTACTGTAGTGTGCACACAAAGGACACAGCTCTACATGAAGGAATGATGATCATGAAAAAGTGAACTGAGAATGCCAGGATGTCTTATGTTTTATGCAATAGTGGCGTGGTGAAAAAGAGCTTTTCTTACAGCCTTCCTCTGCTTTTTGCTATTTGCAGTGCTGTCAGCAAACTTCATTGGTCTAGAAGGAGTGGAGATGAGTTGCCAGCTGTTGTTTCTCATCTCATGGGTTTGAAGAGGTGTTTCTCACTCACACTGGCCTGAAGCCTATAAACACTCATTCCTGGGGTAACCGCAAGAGGATTTTCCAGAGCAAAGACCACTAAAACACTGTCTGCAGTGCTTGGGGAAAGCTTCAGAATGGAAACTAGGATGGAGCCTGATACTCCATCTGTTTTAGTAACAGTGTCTTGAGCTGAGAAGTAAAATGCATGCAGTTAATAAATTCAAATATACTGATATTTTTTCTTGCTTTTAGTTCTGAGAACAAAGGACTAGTTCACGGTGAGGAGTGAACTCAAAACACTGAAGTATAAACTACAAACTTTGGTTTAATCATTTCTGTTAATCAACAAAACAATCTTTGTAAATTCAACAAAATCAACCTTGTTCACATCTCCTTAGCATCCCTTCAGCTTCTATTAGCTGATGAGCTTCTATTCATTCAGCTGCTACCCTGCTTTGAGGTACTAAAGTAACTTTGAGCTATTGTGTAAGAAAGAAGGAAGTAGGCAGACTTCCCTGCGGTGTGACAGTGGGAAAGGACTGAAAAGACATGAATGTGCAAGTTCTGCTGTTTGTGAAGACAGACTTCATGTTATGTATTAAGTATTTAAGATATTTAGTTGGCAGGTACACATTATCTTCAATGACATGGAACTGTACAGCTTGTACAATCTGGCCCTGACACAGCACTGAAAAATCTCATTGTGACAGAACTGCAATAGTCAGAAAATGCATTTCCTTTTCCCCAGTTGACTCTCAGTAGTCTGATCTTCGGTAAATGTCAGGGGTGGGGGTTTAATTCTGAGTTTCCTAGCTCTTATGTACCTTCTATTTTAACCAGCTTCAGACATGACTGCTGGTATAGTTTTATCGTGTGCTAACAACAAGATGCTGATAAAAGGGAGTGTAGTACATACTTAGAGACTTGCCCTAAATACTAAAGGCAAACTTAATCTTTTTGCTGATAACAAGAAAGATTATGTGTAGACTACAATGGTGGGGGTGCCAGCACTGCAGGACCTCCTCATTCTGGTGAGGTAGAGGAGGGAAATGAAGTTCAAAGACTTGGCTGCCCACCCAGTATGACAAATATAAACTAGTAAGCTGTGTATGTTTGTTAATAAGTACTACAGCTTCCTTGGCAGTTCAGTTTGCTGGAGCTCCTGACTTTTCCAGGAGCCAGTGGTGTTCCCCACTGCCAGAGCTTTTCTAGTGGCAGAGACTTCAAATGATCCAGTGGGGTGAAATTACAGAGATGGCTGTTTTCTGGATGCTGCAATATTGCATGCACTCCCAGAGCTAAATAAAACAATTCTGCTGGTGTTTTGCATTCCACAGCTCAGCTCCAGGTCCAATCCCTGCAAGGAAATGAAGGGCTGGGGTGCTGTCTTCCAGGTCACAGAATGCCCCCAGAGAGGGATGGGTAGTTCCTGGGGACAGATATGACTGGCAAGAGGTAGCCTAGCACTAGAGCAGAGTCCAGAGTTAGTTACAGCTCAGGGCGTAGCTAGGTTTGCATCTCCACTTGTGCAGTGACCCCAAACGCCCAGGCCTGGCTCGAGAGACATTGTAAGGGCAAGGCAGAGTCACAGCTGTGCCTCAAACACAGATCCAAAGGCTCTCCATGTGGAGACCTTTCCCAGCTCAAGCCAGCTCATCTGCGAGAAAAACAAAGCTCTCTTGGCAGCCACGGAATTTCAAACTGGTTTTCCTCCTTTTAGTAACTCCTTCCTAAACACTTCCGTTTGCTCTCAGTAACTCTGAAGTCCGAAGGCTCTTGGAAAAACCTCCCAGCTCCTTCCCAGTCTCTCACAGCACGTGTGCTAAAGAGCCCAGCCAGCTCTCCCCTGGCAGCAGTTCTCGACAGGCTGGCCGGCAGCTTTGCTCCCGACTGCCTGCCAAGACGGGGACAGGGTGGATCCTTGACCTCCGCTCTGGGATGTCTGGCTGTGCTGTGCACACGCTGTCAGACTCACTGCACTATGTTCTCTTTGCTGGAGAAGAACCCAGCACGTGTGGGTGACCCTCCCTGAAGCCCTGGCAAATAAGAGTCACGATGTCTGTGTCGGTGTCCCGTCAATGTCCTTGTCGCCACGCCTGTTTTGGCTGTGGCAGCTTATACGGATCGCGCCAGGTGCCGAAGCGAAGGGATGCCCCAGACCAAGCGTGGTTTGTATCCCGCTGCTGAGCAGGGCTTGCGAAGCTTTCGCTCTGCCGCCTGTTGAAATTCCTCGGTGGGAGCATAAACGTCCTCGGTGCACATCTCCCCCGTGAGCTCCGTATAGCCCTCGAAGGAAGGCTGGCAGCTTATGTCCCGCGCGGGAATTGTGTTGTTTTTTTCTCAGCCCGCGCTATGATATTTGCACCCTGCGGCCCCACGCTCATCCTTGCTCAGGGCTTGGGCAGGCTGCACCTTTGTAGGGCGGCGGTATAAAGCGACAAGCGCTGAGCACCCAGTGTGCTAGGCCAGGAAAACCAGGAGACTGCCACTGCCAAAAACTCTTCCCTCTGAATCCAGGGATACAAATGCGAACTAACCGTGTGTCAGGAAACCGAGCTGGACACGTTTTGAAATCCACCCGTTCCCTTCCCAGCCACCGCCCCGCGGGGGCGGGCCCGAACTCGGGCCCTGCGCAGCCGCTCTGGGCGGTTCAGTGTGGTATCGCTGCCACTGCTGCTGCCGCTGATGCTTCTCAGGTCCGGGTCAGCCCTGGCCCTCCTACCCCAGCAACAACCGTGCTCGGGGCCCTCCGATCACGCCTGTCCCCGGTCGTGAGGTTTCTGCCCGGTTCCCCTAGCCCTTCGGCGGCCTCGGAGCGGGAGGGCCCTCGCTCGGCCCAGCAGCGGCGTGGACGGCCCGAGGCGCGGCTGTGTGAGTGCGGCCCGGCCCGGGGCAGCCCTGCCGCGCTTTTGACTTTACCCTTATTTCCACTCCGTCCTCCCTCGAGCTCTGGCTGCTCCTGGACTGCTGTAGCGATATTTCCCCTTGGAAGGTGGTGAGGGGGTGGCGCAGCAGCCGTGGCCAGGCCGCGGGGTACTCCAGCTTTGGTCCGCACCATTGTCCTGGCTCGCACCATGCCCTGTGTCCCTCATGTTGCGCTTCACTGCCGAGGGAGTGGTTTTTGAAATAACGCGTGAACATTGCCTGCAGAAAAAGGGGAAAGAAACGAGGCCGGGAGGAAGAGAGCCCACTCAGCTGCTGAGTGGGGCAGCGGGTAAGGCCAGTGCCTCACCCCCTCCTGCATCCATGACGTTCTGCAGCAATGCTGCCAGCCAGGCAAGCCTGTTCAGGATAGGCCTGTGGGACATTCCTGGTAGTGCTGAAGTGCCATCGGGTGAGGGTGGCCCAGAAAAACATCCAGTTTCTGCCTGAAAGTATGTCTGTCCTGGTTGCTCACTGAAAATAACCGAGGTAATGGCAAAGGAAACAGTATTTGGTTTTTTTGAGCCTGTGTTGTACTCTACAGGGAGAGTTTTGTGGCCCTCTGAAAACACATTTCCTGGCTGAGGTTTGACAGAACAGGCTGTTGACATCAAGACACCCACCAAGAGATAAACCTGTTGGGGAAATACCTGCTCTCCACAGGTGGGAGGGAGGGTTGTCAGCTATTACTTGCTTCTCTGCTTGATAGGTTTTGAATAAACAGCGCATCTGGCAGCTTCTCGTAAAGAAAGTCTTCCCTTCTAGGATGTACCAGCCCCTTTCCTGGAGATCTCTACTGCTGTCATAAGGTTCAAGGGCAGAACTAGGTGTTCTCTTTCTGGTTCCTAGAAAAGAACTTTTCCTCTGTAAAAGGAAAGACCCAACAAACAGTGGTATATGTGATGACTGGCTGTTGACATTGGCTAGCGTATGCACTTTGAAAGGTCACCCTGTCCATATGCCAGATCAGCTGGTGCAAAGCATCTAACTGACCTGTTTGTTTCATTCCAGCAGTCTGGGGTTAACAAACCGTGAAGGAAGAATAAGGGAATCCTGAAGCAGCAGCCAACTGTTTGCTCCTGGACTTTGTCCAAGGGGATTGTTTGCACACCAGTGCTCTCTCCTACCAGGTATGTCATGGAGGTAACAGTGAATCTCCTTCATTTGTCTGAAGGCCCAGGACTGAAACCTTTTTTCACAAACACCATCAGTTGTGGTCTCACCATTGGTTTTAGGGGTAGGACTAGAGGGAGCTAATCCAGAAGAAAACTATTTTTTTTAAATACCTCTTTGTTTTATCTAAGTCTGATCAAAACATGGTTGCAAATGTTGTTAGTCTTGTTGTGCTATGACAAGGAAGGGAAGCAGCACAGGCAGCTGGCAGAGACATCCAGGGCTGCTGCAGCTCCCATCAGTGACAGCCTTAAGCTGCTGTGGTATCGCACCAGCAGCTGTTATTGCTGTAATTTGCCATTTGTCCTTGGAGGGATAGAATTCATTGGGCTTGTGGTGTCTGCTTTTGGGGTTTTTCCAGACCAATGAAGGGAATAGGTAGTTGAGTTCTCTAAAATACTATTCTACTTAAAAGTAGCACACATCATAAACACAGTATTTGAGGAAAGTTTTTCCTTCTCTGTGTTCCTTATGCACAGATCATTTATATTTTGGTGCATGAAGAGCAATAGAGGAGAAGTTTGCTTCTGTTGGGGGAAGATGCTTGTGTACTTTGTTTTGGTTTTAACCTTCCACAGTCTTTTTCCTGGAATCTTTCTGTGAGTGCACAGACCTTTTCCCTCTAAGGCAAAGCAGCTGCTCTTTGATATCAGAGCCATCATCTCCCTTCTCTTTCTTAGTGAGTTGGCCAGCATTTTGCAAAGGTCAGAGGTATATCTTAGTTTGCTCAGCAAGTTTGCTTAGTTTGCTCTTTGCTGGCAAGAAGCACCTAAGGAATTACATTATTTTTTTTAAAATGTCTGGGGGTATTTGTTTTTCAGTACTAATGCATTCTGGGGATTTCCTTGTCCATTGTGGCTGTCATTCCTTACTGATAATACCCCCAAGACAAGAATCTGTTGTCTTCATTTTACAGAAAAGAATATAAATGTGAGCCTGCAGGGTTATAGGCCATTGCCTGACCACCCGATCTGGTTCCTGGGTCTTGTCACTCTTACCCCACCAAGTTTTTCTTATTTCACTGCTCTTCTGCCCCAGACACTCCTGTGACTGTGCTTGGAGCTCCTGGACTGGAACACATCAGATCCATCCTCTTCAAAAGAGTTGCCCATTCACTGTAACCCTTGGTGTGGAGCTGAGTGGCACCAGTCCTGTCTTGTTCTCCACCCAACTATGTGTTCTTTCCCTCTGTGGTGGTGGACTGGTTGATGAAGCTTGATAAAAAGGTGTTGGGATGAGGGGATGCTTCAATCAAGGTTTTCCAAAGTGTTGTGCACTGATTATGTAACACAGCTGCCCTGATGTCTCCATGCCAGGAAGTTTTTGCCATCCCTGTGAGATTGAGGCTACCAGGATTTAAGATGCTTTTTCTTTCTGCTAGTAAACATAAGCCAGGAGGAATGGGTTTAACCTGAGACTTGTGGCAGCATCAGTGGAAAGGGACCCTGTGGAACATGTTTCCTTTTCAATGGCACACACAGGGAATATGCTCCATAGCTTCCTAGTTTTGTGGCCTGAGGCTGTATTTCTAGGAAAGCCGGATTTATTGTGGTCTCCTAGTTATCCTACTTAAGGCTGAGAGCTGTTACCTGTGGGGCTTGCTGTGTTCCTTCTTTACATCTTTAAATTTGTTTTTATTTTCTTAATTGAAGTATGATTATACTAGAACAGCTCCTGTCATCTCATAAAGCATTACAAAAATGCCAGATCATTTGTGTTGACTTGTGCTTAGATTTTTCATGCTCTTAAAACCCAGCTGAGTCTCATTTCTGTCTGCAGTGGGAGACCATGGAAGGGAAGGACACATCACCAAGTCATACCTCGGAGAGCACCATATTGGACCTCCCCTCTGTTTGTGACCTAGCAGAGCACTTTCCACCTCCACACAGCTCGGAAAACAGCGAGGAGCTTTATCCTTCTGGGGATGTTTTTCCCTCTCAATCCACAGGTAACAGCTTCTGCTTCTCCACATGTTCCTTCTTCAGCCAATGCTTCATCTTCATAGGCAGTGTTCGACTGAGTCACTGCAGTCTGGTACTGGCGCACCTGCCTGTCATAAAACACAATTTTACCAGAACTGCAGTCTGCTTCAGCTGGACAAATGGGACACAGGAGAGAAGCTCAGAGGATGCTATCAGCTGCTAATGTTCTGCAATACTCTTCATGTTTAATGTGTTCTCTGAAGGACAATAACGTAGTCCTTCAGACATCAGGAGTAAACACTGTCTTAAATTACCACAGTCAGTAGGAAGAGTTGTTAAACTTTTCCTTATGTTTTTCATGTGCTCATCACCAGCTCAGGATGTGGCCTTGTTACCCCATTACTTTAATAATAATAATAACTGAATCTTTGCTTGTGCTAATGACAATGGTGTGGTGAGGATTGCTTCAGTTCAACTCTTGCAAGAGAGCAGTTTCCTCACTTGAAAGAGGACTGGCTTCTGCAGAAGTAGTGTTTTAGGTCAGCCACTACTCTAGATTCTTAGAAGTAATGGTATAAATCATATATCTGAGAAGATAAGGGGCAGCTGGCAAGAAATGTGAAATCAAAATGCGTTGGCCCAGTGGCACTTCTTGCTGTGTATTCATGCTGGCTGGAATGAAGGTTCTAGTAAATTATATTTAATACTGGGGGAGAAATAAGTTCTGGTCAACAAATAATGTGTGGAGAGGATTTGTCAAGACACCTGGGTGAGTGAAACGTCACTGACAACATTTCTGGGTATTTAGAATCTTAAGTAGTATAAAAGTAGGGTTTGGCTCCTCTTCTTACTCTAAAGTGGTTTTCTGTGGCCTGCTTCCAAGAAATTAGCTTGAAATTCAACAGGTGAGTTTCCTTCAGTGGGAATTTCACTATTTTCATGCTGAACAGGTGAGCAGTGGGATCTGCCAACTGATCTCACTCAGCTGATGTTGTCTGCCTGTGCAGTTGCCTCCAGCTTTAGGTGTGGGACATCCAGAACTGTAATGGAATCTACCAACTGTAGAGACCAAGCTTTGCTTTGCTTTTTCACACGGACCAGGAAGTTGCATGTCTTACATTAATGATGATGGGAATCTTCTGCTGTTAGCCTCTGCTTGAAACCACAACATGTGTCACATTCATGGTCCCTATTGCACTAGAGCAATAGCAGGTTTGCTTTATTTTTGTGTGTAAGAGTAGTGACCAGCACTGCAAGGAATGTCCTGAGCCAGCTTTTTCCACTCTCATGGGAGAGTTCCTCTGATAGTGAGACAGGCTGGAAGGCATTTGTCTACTCAGATTTCACAAGCCCTGTGTCACAGGCATGAAGCAATCCTGGGAGCTGTGAGGCAGTTCCTGGGATATGTTGCTCAAACACCATTTAGTATGGCTCAGGGCAACTGGTCTTGATTGTTGTGTTGAATGGGACACATGGAATAACTGCATGACCACTTGGCAGTCCCAGGAATGTCTGAGGCTTAGTGGGAGCCACACACGTGAAAATGACAGTGCTGGGGAAGTATTTGTGGTGCCTGTGTGGAGTAGGCAGCTGAAGCTCAGCACCAAGGTATGCTGAGAAGGCACATCCTGCCTCCTGGCTGTCCCCAACACCCCCTGGTGCCAGTGTGGATTCTGGGTGTGCTGAGGAGGGCAGATGAGGCGCATGAACCCTCCCCTTCATTGCTTATTGCAGACACTGCTCATGGCTGAAACCACTTAGTGATAACTGTGAGATGCTCCCTGTGGTCCTTGATTGAAATAATTCAAGTGTCACAGGATAACCAATTCATGCTCAGAACATCTTGGTTCTTTTCTCCTCATAATACCATCAAACCAATATACATACCTACTTAAACTCTCTCTTTTGATGCAACTTCAACGTTCCAACCCATTGAGTTTGGTCACGGTGGCAGAAGAGACAGGAAGATGGTTTTAGAAACAGTCTGCCCATGTCAGATATTCTTGGAAAAGCAGGTTCTGTCAAATGTATCCTGGGAAAGGAAGCTCCTTTGCTTGTTTGTTTTATCACCAGACATTCTGCCCATGTCAGATATTCTTGGAAAAGCAGGTTCTGTCAAACGTATCCTGGGAAACTCCTTTGCTTGTTTGTTTTGTCACCAGACATTGAGAACTGCTGCTTTGGCACGTGTGAGAAGTGTAGGAGTGGCTGTGGGCTGTACCCCCAACAGTCTGACCAACAGACTGGATCCTGAGGCTTGGACAGGATGGATGAGGATCTTCCTTAGTGATTCAAAAGCATTTCCAAAAGGCTGATAGGTCTCTGGGAATGTGGCAGCTTCATTAGGGATGAAACAGACTGACAGGACAGGCTGTTTTCTGCCATCTGCTGCATGAACTGGACTGAGACTGACTGAAGTACCACACCATCTGTACCTCAGGCAGTGGAAATGGTCATGGGGTATTCCTGCTGCCTGAGGCACCAGTAACAAGTTTTATTAGTCTAGAGAGGCTCCATCACTTTTAACAGCAGAAACGAGTCCATGAATACAGGGCCTTCTGAAAGCAGGCGTCTCCAGGCAAGAAGACAGTAGTCCTGTAGGAATATTACTAAATCTCTTAAATTGTTTATAAATTATTGGTTTTATGATTTGTGTGGAAATGAGGGTTCTGCTCTTACAACAGGCATTCGTACCTTTAGCTTATTGTCATAGTGAGTTCAAGTGTCTTAAGTGATGATAGGTGGAGAAAATTAAATGGGATCAGTAAACTCTTTCGTATGCTTTGTCTTTTTTATCCCATACTGGAAGATATCTTTAAAAAATTTAATTGTTTGTCCTTTTTTTAATCTGCATCACTCAGTTGCTCAATACACCAGGAAGACCTTACCACTTCCTCTGGATTAAGAAAAGTTGCCAGCTAAAGCTCTTGCTTGGCAGGCAGCACTCAAGTGTATGTGTGGGAATACCTTAAATTATTTGGATTAATATTTCATAAGAAGCTAATAAATGTTGTTTCCAAATAAATAAATAACTGGCAATGTGACTTTTCATGTAGGGCACTGATCCGGAGAGTACCAGAGACAGTGGAAAAATACTATTTACCTGGAAAAATTGCAGCTTAAGAAGGTATTAAGAGAGTAAACCACGGATGTGCTCTACAAATTGGTAGAGGACAGGGTTCTGGGCTCTGCCCATGCTCTGTGGTCAGGCAGAACTGGATTTGCCAGTGCAGCGCTGGAGAAATTCTACAAAATTTGGAAGCAGCATTTGAGAGTTCAGCTGTGGAATCATGCTTGGGAATCTGTCTGTCTGAAGCATGGGCAAAGCTCAGTCCCATCTCCTTTCATGGCCCTTCCGAGGGCTTGTGATCTTGGGCAGATGGGTCTCCCTGATTGTCCTGTAGCCTCTGCCTTCGTTGCTTTTTCTTTGTAATGAAAAGCAGTGGAAAAACTGGGTTCTTAGGGAAATGGATGGTTGGACAGGGTCACCCAGTGGAAGAAAATAGTGTGTTACAGGAACAGAGAAGATAAAAGTGACATTAGGAGAGAGAGGATGACAGTTTCCTGTGGGCTTGAAGAGACCTGCAAGTATCTAAAAACTGGCTGGCTTTTTTTTAAAAAAGCAAAATTAATTAAAGCCACCTTGGGAGGATAGAGGTGTTCAGCCTTTAATTGCCTCTCCAAAAGCACTACTTTTGTTCCTGTGGTTTGCTTCAAGTTTGAGCTCAGGCTTACCTTTAGGTATTTTGCATGGGCTTCCCTGACCTCTGTAGTGCAACCAGAGTCCCAGGCTGCTCCTGGCTGTGCTTATTCCTGCTTGATCCTTAGTGTTGGCACACAGTGAGAAGTCAGCTCAGGGAACTGGTCCAGCTTTCTCAGCAGCCGTGTGAATATTTGTGTGGATGAAGTGGGGACAGCTCCTCTTCCTGGCAGTGGCACAGGTACAGCCAAGATCCAGCATTCTGCAACGTGTCCTGGCTTTCACATGGGATTGCAGCCTTTCCAGGATGGTGCTTTCTGAAAAATGTGGTGTTGGACTATTAATCTCTTCTCCCTTGTGGGTAGCCAGGCTGTAGGTTCTCTCTGATCAGCTGTGGGGAGCTGTAGGCTTTCTTCAAAAACATTCCATTTGGAACAAGTCGTGAGAGCTTGGGGGAAATGGGACAGACCATTTCACTGGAGACTGTCTGGCATCAGGCACGTCATTGAGCCTGGCCCGTGGCACTGCTACTGTACTTTCCACTCAAATCAGGAGGACATCTGGTCACAAGGTTATCCCAGTTTAAAAGGCATGATTTTTGGACTGTTCCAGTTACTTTCTGGATTTTCAGGCAACCAAGCAACTATGTTAAATCAGAGATATTTCAGCCTGTTAACACAGCTCAATTAGGATTCCTCTGGAAAAAAATGCTACTTTTCCCCAGTGAATTTACATGCCCAGTTTTGTGGTGCATTGCTTCGCCTTTTATTAGCAACTGAGGAGTGGTGATGTTGGTGCATGTGTTCTGACTGTCAAGTGTTACTTAATCTGTTTTGCAGAAGTGGGTTTGTGTTTGCTAGCATGGCTTGTGCTTTTCCTATCTGAGAGTTGTTCACAAGTGCTGACATAGAGGCTGAAAATGAAAGGAGTGTGTTTTGTCACGTCAGCAGCAACCTTTCAGGGCTGGCTCTTGGTGGGTGCTGGGAGGTTTAGTTCAGCCCAGAACTCAGTGTTCACTACTTGGTGTAGAAATTACAGCTTGGCTGTCTGATCTGCCACTGCTGCCCAAAGTTGCCAAATTTCCAAAATGTCTTTTTTTGAAAAAGACTGGCTAAAGACTTTCATGTATAGTCTCTTGAAGAGGTCTGTGTAACTTCATAAATCCAAAATGTGTATGATATTTTAAATCACTTTCAGACTGAGCCGAAGTTGAGCTAGAAAGACCTCATAAGTGCACTCCAGGTTAGATACAGAAACTTCTGATAGTCTCCTTTGCCTAAAAGATACAGATCACACTGAGAAAAATTTTACTTTTTGGTTTCCTCT